TATAATTAAATTAAATCATTCGGAAATTATTACAAAATAAAAATAGAATAAAATAAAATTAAAAATAAATAATAGATGAAATAAATAACTAAAAATAAATAATGAATACTAAAAATAATAAATAAATAAAATAAAGAATATAAATAATATAAAAATAATATATAAATTATTACTCCGGATTTTCGGGGTTATTGATCAGCGAATTAAGGTCCAATTCGCATTCCGGTGACAATAATTTAAATAAATTTATAAAAAAAATGATGAATTTTTATGAGAAAGGAGTCCAACTTGAGAAAGAAATCACTTTACTTTTAAAAATGATAACATTTAATTACATCAAAAAAGGTGAGTTTTCATTGAGTTATATGTTAAGTTATTATGTATCTGAAGTTACACTGTCACTAGAAGTAAATCAGGGAATTGAAAGCTCCTTGTGGCCACAGCTTGTGAAAGTTACTAATCAGGTATTCAGACCTGGTGTACAGTGGATGGCCTGTCATGAATGTTCTTCTCTGTTTTCGAAAAGCCAACTGACATATGTATCAGGGCCTGTGATGAATAGGATACATGAATTATTATTGACTGACATGTATCAGGATTATAATCCTTGATAACTATGACACAAATACTCATTTTCATTTATGTTCTTCTATACCCAATAGACAAGAACCCGGCAATGGGGGATCGATCACTTTGGCAGCTATAATGGATATACAATTATAGTCCAGTGCAAAGTAAGTATCATATTTAAATCAAATAATTCAAAAATTCAAAGCTTATAATATTTTATTATTGTTATAGAATTACATTGAGCTGTTATCTATTGGACCAAAATTTTTACAAGAGTTGGAAGTAAGGTTGTGGGCAAAACCTCCTTCATAATTGCTGAAACCATGGCAAAATCCTGTTGAAACTATGCCAAAATGGTGAAACCTCAAAATATGAAACTCTGCCAAAACTCTAATAAACAATTAATGTGTAACCTGCTGAAACCCTGCTGATTGATTTCTGGAGGAGTTTTGGCAAGAAACCTTAGTTAAAAGGTGTTTTATCAAGATATAATAAAAACACAACAATTGGAATCTTGGTGGCACCTTCAAAAGAAGGTTTTAGTAAAAATCTTATTGGTAGAGCTTGATCATCTGAAAATATAATCATTATAACCAATAAAACAAATGTGTATTTAGATTTGGATCACTTGGTAGTTTCTTGATCATCTGTTGTTGTTTCTCAACAAACTAGAAGTTCTATACATTTTATCTTTTTTCATTTTTACTTTATTATTATTATATTATTATTGTCAATTGTCTCAAACAAAATATACTGTAAGATTGTAAACCGTTGACCAACCTATTGACCGTTAATATTGACCAATTAGAACGAACTTACTACGGAAGTCATGTGATGCGCTGAATATTACATCACGATTAACAATCATCTTTCTATATATATTTATTGCAACGGTTGCACGTCATGTTACACATATAGATCATTACATCATTTCTATTTTTAACTTATTTTATGACATAATTATTACTTCGAATTATTAATCAAATTATTTGTAATAATGACTCATAGGATTAGTAATTATGAGTCAGAGCATTAATAATTGGATTTGTGTCAGCAGAATTGACAAAGGCAGGAGCAGCAGTCATAGCAGCACCAATTGCTCCATTTGATGAAGCAAGAAAATTAGCGAGAAAAAATGTCGAAACTTACGGAGCATTTTTTTTAATTCATGTTAATACACCACTGGAATATTGTATTAAGACTGATCGAAAAGGAGTTTACAAGGTATGTCAGTGTATATAAATATAAAAAAAAGTTATCAAGATATAAAAATGGAACCATTATTCACCAAGTTGTATTGATGTTAAATATCATATATAACAGAAAGCTCAATCTGGTGAAATCAAAGGATTCACAGGTGTAGATGATCCATATGAGAAACCAAATGATGCAAATATTGTTGTTGACGTTAGTAAACAAGGCATTAGTGAAATTTGTCATCAAATCGTTTTACTACTTGAGAAAGTGAGTGCAATAATAATAATGTTTTCCTTTGATTGATTGGTTAATTCACTCTACTATATACTAAATAATTATAAATTAATAGGATGGGTATATCGGAGAAAAATAATAGTAAAACTATTTTTATTGAACTATTTCATTATATATATATATATACATAGTTATTTAATTTTTTTTTAATTTCAATTCATTTGAAAAGTGGGCGGGCGGGCATCCTTAATTACAAATAATAAAATTTTGGGGAATTTAGATTTTTTTTCATGTTTGTTAAGTCATATATCATTCATGGTTTAGATTTGCATACTTTCACATGACATTGGTTGGTTTAATATCTTTCTCGCTTCTTTAACAACAAGTTGTTATATTATATTAGATTTGAATAATGTTGGCCAACGCTATTTTTACCATAACTACAAGTATTTCTTTGTGGATGTTGCCCCTCAAGCATACCTCTCTCTTTGAGAATCTTCCCTAACATTGATCTTCCAATATCTACTTTTTCAAGTATATCAATATAGTTATGAAATAGTTGAGTGTCTTCTCCACATCATTTCTATTATATTAATGAATTAGAAGAAATTCAAATTTGATAATCCTATCAGATAATCAATATGTTGTACGCTGGCTGTGCAAGAAAATTTATTTTAGAATTTCGATATTTAAATACCTCATGGTACATACATTTCTTTGTGAAAGCGAACCCTTTAGTAAAACTAACAATGCAATGGGCTTAATATCTCATGAAACATTAAAAAGTATTTTTATATATGTCGGGATATAGAAGCACTTATGAAATGAGGCGTGCGCAACGCCAATCAACTTTAGTCAAGAAAAAAAATTGAAGTCATTTATCAATATTAATATAGATTATCAAATATGTCTCGCAAATCTAAAAATAACAGACCCAAGGTAGATTCACTGAGAATCCTAAGCAGTATATGCAATTTCAAAACCGGAATAAGTATATGCATAGAATTGACAAAAATTTTATAACTATCATAAAAAGGAACACTCAGGATACAAAGGTGATATTCGATTACGAAGAGGTATGTAAGATATCTCAAGGCAGATAGCACTGGTTCGAATATTCTAAACTGAGCTGGCAAGATCGATGTGTGTAACAATAATTGGATTATTTTTTCCAGAAAAATTGATCATTATTAAATGCAATTAATTATATATGCAAATTGACCTCCAGGTCAGTTTATTTACATGAAAATAAAAAAAGATACAGGATATGCCTTGGTTTTTTTTAAAATGCTTAATAAAAAGTATGAAAGAAAATAATGATTGTAAAAATTGTCTAAAAAAAGATAAAATAATCCAAGAACAAGCAGAATATATAAGACAACTAAACTAACAAGAGATTTTGATAAGGAATGCAAAGTAATTGAAAAATTAAGAAAATTAAGTAAATTGTGTAAATGTTATGAAACATGTTTCCTAATGGATCTATTAAAGATTTTTGACTATCAAATAAAAGAATGCAAAGACACAGACTGAAAAAATTTAGATGCTTTTCACAGTATTATGCTTAATATAGAAAAAGAAAAGAAAAAAAGATAAATGGAGTTTCACTTTTCAATAAATCTATATATGGGGTCTGTACTAGGAAAATCAAGCTTCCAGCTATTTTTTTTTTTTTTGTCTTTTTACTCAATAATAATCTCT